CCCAACACAGCACTAGGCTGTTAGAAACCACCCCCAGGGTCCCGTCACCTCCTGCCAGGCCTCACCACCAACACTGGGGATTACAATTTAACAGGCAATTTGGATGGGGACACGGACCCAAACCAAGTCAGACCCCCCTTCCGATACATATATCTTATGTATGTACACATGTATATGTGTAGGTATATATATGTATGTGTGTTTAGACATACATGTGCATATATGTGTATACATATACAGAAATTACATAATATATGTGAGATTAAGCTCATAGATTACTTTGTATTGGTGATGCCATCTGTAGGTCTCATTGTTATTCTAGCATTTTTAAGACTTTGACATTAGGCTTTGTTCTTCTGCAACAGGTATAGCAGTTACTATGTCCCAGGCACTGCTCTAAGTAAGCCCTTCATGTCGTCTAAGTCATTTACTCCTCTGAGCAATCCCAAGGTGCCCGAGTTCCCATTGGACAGATGAGCAAACTGACAGGCAGAGAGGTCCGCTAAGGTGCGTGAGGCTAGTTTGGTGCCTGGGGGTCCTTGACCCTGGCCCTCCATGTCCAGAGTCCCCTCAGTCTGGTGCCTGCACGCATCCAATATGAGTTTGCTTAAAAACTTGTGGCCTGTCTTTGAGGAGTGATACATTTGAACACGTTGCCACTACTTTTTGTGTAAATTCAACAAGTGTGTTATTAGTTTTCAGGTATGCAACGGGACAGAACACAGTCCCTGCCCCAAAGAATGTGTTCCTTCCAGATGTGAAGCAGGAGTCATGTTCCGACTGGAGGATGTTAGGTGACGAATGAAAAGGCTGCCCCTGGCCTTTAAAAAGTTGAGATGGAATTCACATGCCACGAAATTCACCATTTTAGAGTGCACGACCTAGTGGGTTTTAGACTGTTCACAAAGTTGTACAACCATCACACCTATCTCATTCCTGACTATTTTTCTCACCCCAAAAGGATACCCTCTATCCATTTAGCAGTCACTTCCCATTTCCCCCTCACCCTAATAGCTCCTAATTAGATCCCAAGCAGCCCCCAGGTAACCGCTGGTCTACTTTCCGTCTCTATGATTTGCCTGTTCTGGCCATTTCCTATCAATGGAACCGTGCACTCTGGGGCATTTCCTGTCCCGTGTAATTCACGTGGCATCGTGTTTTCAAAGCTCCCCCCAGCTGTAGCCTCAGCCAGCACGTCCTTGTCATGGCTGAGAGGCACTCCTTTGTGTGGATAGGCATGTCGTGTTTACTCATTCATCAGCTGCTGAACAGGTCCTTGCCTTTCAAACTGTTTCTAGGAAGTCATCCTGTTAAGAATATTTTTATATGGTCAGACCCCTGGTCATAGATTTACTAAGGATTCTAACCATTCTGCCTGAATGTTTTTATGACAAAATCCTTCTGCATCATTTAGGCAAAACGTTCACTGCAATGTTGGGCTGTTATCAGATTGTCCCTTTCTGGAAACGACTCTGTCTCGAGACCTTAAGTTGGCTGAAGGGTTCTCACTCGCCACACCCGGGTGTAACCTTATAGGCTCCTAACCAGGGCTTATATGTATTCTCTGAAATATTCTCTCTCTCCTTTCTTTCTTTTTTTTTTTTTGAGACAGAGTCTCTCTCTGTCACCCAGGCTGGAGTACAATGGCACGATCTCAGCTCACTGCAACCTCTGCATCCCGGGTTCAAGCGATTCTTCCGCTTCAGCTTCCCGAGCAGCTGTGGTTACAGGTGTACACCACATGCCCAGCTAATTTTTGTATTTTTAGTAGAGACAGGCTTTCACCATGTTTGTTGGCCAGGCTGGTCTCGAACTCCTGGTCAGGTGATCCACCCTCCTTGGGTGTCCCAAAGTGCTGGGATTACAGGAGTGAGCCACTGTGCCTGCTGTCTCTCTTTTTTGTTTTTTTACTGTTATTGTTTTTATTATTTAACAGCTGGGTTCATAGTACCATTTCCTACTTACTTTTTTCCCACTTTGAATTGTTGAGTCTGGCTCTGCTGCCATTAGTTGTAATTCCCTGGATACTTAGCCTCATTTCAGGCTTTTGCTAACATTTATCTTTATTTATTTATTTTTTGGACTATTTTAAGATCATTTATTAGAACACAGTCTTTCAGAAGCCATGGAGGCATTGGGCAGCAGAAAGGGAGCCGGGATGGGGCAGGCCCTGTGAAGGCCCAAGGACAGAGTGACAGCCACAGTTACAAAATTTCACTCCATTCCACTAAAGATTAATGTATGCCGGATAACCTAATGATAATCCATAAGCTTGGTAGCTCACAACATTTTTAGAAAGCACATAAGATTAGCATTCAAACCAGGCATTATGGAAAGTTTTATAAAGAAAGAAGTGTTTACTATAATTCTTTTTAAAAACCTTGGTTCATCTTGAAAAATCGATGAATTTTTAAAATATCAGAAGAAAAGGAAAATAAAATTCCCCCACCCCCCAAATACATAAGAACTGCCTACTGGAATTGTATTTTAAGTACCTGGGGAAAAACGAAACAGATTTTTAAAGGCAATTAATAACAGCTTGTACAAGGGCTTGTTTCATTTGATTTGGCACCAAGTAAAGCCAGAGTGCGTACGCCGTGGAAGACATAATAACGGTGTTCCTCCACCCCTCGGGTGCCCATCCTACCAGACCCACAGCGCACCAGCAGCCATCCTTGTTGCCCCGCGAAGGAATCACCTTAGATTCCAATTTTTAAATGGCTGCTCAGGTGACATCAGGTTCTTTCTCCTTGAAATAAGGTGGCTGGCAGTGAATGCTAACGGGTATTGATTTCTTTGATCAGAAACAAAGGACTCCTTCAGGAAACTCACTCACTTTCCTGGTCCTTGTTAACCTGTCATGTAAATTCGTTTTATTGGCACACCTGTTTACACATTATGATCGATCACTATTTATGCCAAGAGAGCATTTCCCAGGCATGCCTCATCTATTTACCACCGACAAGTATGCTGACTTTATTTACACATCGTCACGGGTTTTCTCTGTTTCCCTTTTTTTTTATTTTTTTTTTGCAGGGGGTGGGACTGTAACTTGTTACTTATGGCAGATCATACATTTGGATCAAAAAGAGAAACTGGCCACTAGATCCTAAAACACATTTCTTAACCGGAGTCACATCTAAAAACATATAGACTTTAATTACACTTTGCTGAAAATTCATTCAACTTTGGTGCTTGTCCAAGGACTTAACAATGTCAATTTCGGACATAAATCATAACCCTCAGTACATATCTATTTTCAAAGGAAACAAGTCATCTTAAAGTAGTATTTTTCTATATATTGATATGTTTTTATAGCAAATTGAAAATTCCAAGTCAACTGAAAGTAAGCTTAACAACAAAATAAATACAGCATATATGGCTAGCATATACATTTCTTAGTGTAAAGGCATCCGTGAATTTTTGCCTTACAACAAATCTGTAAATCCAGTTGCCTACTCTCTGGAATCTTCCATAGTGTCTCACCATGTTCCACAATGCTGGAAATGTCTTTTTTGCCATCATTCCATGCAAAAATTCCTGATCACATATTTTCCCCAAATGACATGTAACTTTTTAAAACTTTTCCAGAAAAATATGGAAACTTTATCAACCACTTAACTGAACAAAAAGATGACTACCAAATCCTTTTTTAATTTTGCTCTAATAGATGTTTTAAAAGTTCAGACATTGCTGACGTTTTTGAGGATAACTGCATAAAACACACTAGATGATTCCAAAGCATGAACCTTAGTATCTGACTCATTTAGCACATCCTTAATATCCAGAGTAAAATCAGAAGAAATAAAAGTAACGTAATTTTCAAAGAATTCATACATACTGGAAGTGTTAGGAAAAGTAGCTTCTAAATGCAAGGACTAGGAGGTTTGCCCATCTATTGCCCACCTTTTTTTTCTTTTTTTTTTTGAGGCAGAGTTCTGTTGCTCTGTCACCCAGGCTGGAGTGCAATGGTGCGATCTCAGCTAACTGCAACCTCCACCTCCTGAGTTCAAGAGATTCTGCTGCCTCAGCCTCCCAAGTAGCTGGGATTATAGGCGCACACCACCACACTCGGCTAATTTTTGTATTTTTAGTAGAGGTAGGGTTTCACCATGTTGGCCAGGCTGGTCTCGAACTCCTGATCTCGTGATCCGCCCACCTCAGCCTCCCAAAGTGCTGGGATTACAGGTGTGAGCCACTGTGTCTGGCCTGCCTAACTATTAATAGTTACGCCCATTTCTCCTCATGGAGTAACAGAAGCTTTCTGGCTTGTTTGTGGAACTTTAGTTTGTAGGAAAGCATGTAAATAGGGCCAAATCTTGTTGGTTTCTGTTCCGGAGAATGTTTCTAACACGCTTTTGTTCTGATAATGTTTCTGAACTGGCTTTGTTTGGGCTTCAGAGCCTTTGGTCTGTTGATAACCGTCTCTGGCTTACCATCCTCATGCTGAATGAGAGGCTCCACAGTTAGATCATCTGTGCCCACAGTTTTGAGAGGGTCGAATTCAATGTTGTAGACTCGGGCACTGGGGGATGCGTCCAGCGAGCAGTAAGGTCTCATTTAAGGACCTCAAAGCATACATGCGGGTTAATCACAGTGACGATCTGAGAAGCTCTATCTAAGGCTTCTGCCTGTGAAAGTGTCCTTGGAAAACCATCCAACATCCAGCTACACTGTGTGAGATTTTTCAGCTCATGAAGGGCCTGCTGAGTCATGAATCATCTGGGATTAGCGTGCCTTGGTCAGTGAAAGCCTTGGCTGACACACCGGTTTCTGTATCACATAGCCTGTTGTCCCGAGCAGGTCCCCGCTGAAGAGGTGCTTCAGCTCCAAGTGTCAGGTGATGTGCGACCACGCAGTGCCTCTTCCCGAGCCAGGGGCCCCCACAATCACTGTGCATAGCAACAGATGCCCCCAGGGCCGCAGACCGAGGCCCGTGCTTCGGCTGGCAGTGCTGCCAACAGGCGGCAACCGCTAAATTTATCTTCGTCTCTTTCCAGGTCGATCCAGTGTTTACAAGGGAAGTAAAAGCCAAAGTGAAAAGGTAAGAGTTGGTGGAGACCAGACATGCTACAGAACAGGAAACCTGAGTGTCCCCTGAGTTACCTTAACTCGCATTTGTCCAGTCCCAGGCACTGTTCCAAGCAGTTTACAGGTGTTTCCTCTCCATCCTCCCAGCCAGCCCATGGCATCCCGGGCACTATCATTTGCCCAGGGAGATGCCAATAAAAACCACTTTGTGATTATAATTAGTAATGGATCACATTGGCCAAATGGAAAGATTTAAACTCTCTAGGGTTTGGAAGAATGGAGGAATACCACCCTTTGTCACCGCCTGCCTGCAGAGCAATGTGTTGCCATATTGGTTATGAGCTGCATTTGTCTGCCAGGAACAGCACAGGCTTCAACAGAGTGAACTTTCACTGCTCACATCAACAAGTCTGAGGGTGGTCAGCCGAGGAGCAAAACCGAAGCTTCCCTGAGACTTTGGGGATCTGGCTTTTGTCTCTGTCTGGCCTTCCTTTGCCCGTGGCCCCCATCCTGAAGGTGACATCGTGGCTCCGGAGCTGCATCATCAGTCTGCGTTTTAAGTGGAGCGAAGGGAATGAGCAGAGCCAGAAAGACGTGGGTCTCATTTGGGTCAGTCCCCTGTAAAGTGGTGTCCCCACAGCCCCTCAGGATTCCGGCCAGATCGCGTTGGCTATGCCAACCACACAGGGCACTGACAAAGACTGGTTTTCCCCATCTATAATCAGGGACCTTTAGATCATTTGCAGGTGCAGATGCATGTGTGTCAAAGTATCACCCACTCAGGGAAGGGACGTGTGGCAGGGCCGTGAGAGTGGTGGCCAGTGGTGGGGACGAGGAAGAAGATCAAAGAAAGGCATAGATTTACATTACGTGGTGAGAAGAATAGAACGAGGCAAAATGTCCGTGACAAAATAGCTGTCAGTGCTGTGTGCTGGGGACAGGGCTTTTGTTACATTATCACGATTTAGTATTTCTATGTCCATTCTTTTTTTTTTTGAGACCAAGTTTTGCTCTGTTGCCGAGGCTGGAGTGCAGTGGCACGGTTTTGGCTCACTGCAACCTCCACCTCCTGGGTTCAAGCAATTCTCCTGCCTCAGCCTCCTGAGTAGATGGGATTGCAGACGAGCGCCACCACGCCCGGCTAATTTTTGTATTTTTAGTAGAGACGGGGTTTTACCATGTTGGTCAGGCTGGTCTCCAACTCCTGACCTTGTGATCCACCTGCCTTGGCCTCCCAAAGTGTTGGGATTACAGGTGTGAGCCACCACACCTGGCCTATTTCTATCATTTCTATTCTTGTCTCATTAGTATTTTAAAAAACTGTTTGAAAAAAGATTGAATTATTAGAAAAATTTTCCAAATCAAACAGAGAAAATGGCAGAAACCTTATCTCTGACTCTTGTAGTCCTTGAGAGCAGTTGTCTTTGTTGAGCATATTGAAAACAAGAACAGACATGTTAAACAGCTCCCTCCCCTACTTGTCACGGACATGAGCGGTGAGGGTTTCTACCCCAGTACCGCTCTCCTGGTGAACGCTTTGTCAGCAGTGCTTACTTGTTGATCTAGAGTGTTTCACCCAGATTGTCATGCCTCCTTCTCCCAGCTGCTGCCCATGAACCTCCTGGGATTAGAGCCACCCCCTGCTTCGTGTTTTCTCAGGGCCGCTGGGGTACGACTGATTGCAGAGATGCCTCAAGGAGATCTGCACGCCGTGGTGAAGAACTGCTTCGCGGTGGTGAACAGCTCTGTCTCTGAAGGCATGTCAGCCGCAATTTTGGAGGTAATTACGTAACTTGAGTACTGAAAGTGGGCGTATGAAATTGTCCATCACTCCCTTTCTTATTTACGGAGGTGACGTCTTTGTCAATAATATTCCGCACTTCTGAAAGCTAGAAGAGCCAAGCAGCATACCCGCTGGAGTTCAAAAGTACGTTTGAAGTTCTATCTGGAAGTTTAAAAATACCGTTTCATTTCGCACTGCCATTTCTCCTTGCTAGCTACGACGTACAGTAAAACTGGGATGGCATTGCCTCTCTGACCCTCTAACTATCTCTGACAGGAAGGCAGCTAAGGTTACAAAGGGTTGGGACAGGAAACAGGATGAAGGTGTTTCTGCAGCAAGCCTCCTTTTACTTGATCTTTTCTCTTTCTTTTCATATGTTCTGTAATTCCAGAAATTAAGAGAGAAGAAAGGACTGGATTTCACAGGTAGCAGGAGACGGAAGCAGGGTAGCCATCAGAGATGACAGGGTGGCATGGGGGCTGGGGTGGATGTAACCTCTTCATCCAGCAGTCAGCTCCATAAAATTGCTCCATCTTTTTTGACAAAATGTGTCTATCCCAGCAGCACTCTGCAGTCCACCACCAGAGTATCTGTGTTTGCAGGACCGAGTCTGGAGTGGGGAGGCGGTGCTCTTGAAACCTGGGCAGGCTCTGACTGGGCTGCATCCCCTCTTCTGTAAAAGGTCCTGGCAACCCTCACATCCCCTTTGCAATGGGACCACCTACAACATCTCTTCTCCTCCTTGAGACTCTTTTGACGTGGGATATCTCACCATTATCTCTGCTGCTTGAGTTTAGGTCCTCAAGAGAATCACCAGCACGTGTCTAACAGAAAAAGACGTTCCTTCTCTTGTTTTGTTGTTGGTTCATTGCCTCCAGGGCTCCCGAAGAATGAGGCCAGAAAAGGGCAGGCTCGGCTCGCTCCGGCCAACGCCAGCCTTTGGCACCGGCCTTTCCTCACGCGATTAAAGCAGCAGGTACCACGTGCATGGTGCCCACGGTGGGCCTCAGCACACACACTGCACACCACGGGCATGGCGTGAGCATGTGTCAATGGGCACATGGGAAAGCCTGTTCTCCTGTCAAAAGGAAAACATTTGGCCACTGCTTCCTGAGATCTTTTATCCAGGTTTCACGTGTTCTTTCTGAATACCTGGACTTCTCATTTCAGTGTCTACTTAGGTTAATGCTGTTACTTTATCATAAGTCTTTGGGATATCCATGATTCCCCTTAGGTACCAGTTGAATGTACTGAACTTACTGACAAAAGTTAAGGTCTGCAAACCTTAGGGGTCCAGAGAGAACATGGTAAATAACGTAAGAAAAAAATCCTCTCCCTACGTTGAAGAAATGAATGGCATTGTGTGCATAATATTTTCCCTTAATGTGGCATCATTTCAAACCAAAAAACACAGAGGGAGATGATAGACGCTATACGTCCATGCCCAGGAATCTGCCGTCAGGTGCTTTCCGAGCACAGAGTGTACGTTTGTGACACGACCATCCTCAGCCAGATGTCAGCACCTCAGCGCGTGGGTTGCCGTTAGTATTAATCTTCATTGGTCCTTTCAAACCGGCTCCAACTGCGGTCCTCGGGGCAGTACGTTTTATTCGTCATGTTAACGTGAAAAGTGTATATGCTTATGGCTCCAGTATTTCAGCTACTGCTGAAATAGGTGCTCCTTTGTAGGTAAATACACATTTTTTCGACTTCTTAAGGTAGAGTGGAGTTCGGCAGTGATTTTGAAACCAGCACGCACAGCGTTTCACTGCAGATGAATCGCTGTCAAACCTCATTTATTTCAAAGCAAAAGCAGCTGTTAGCAATTCTGACTGCCTTAAAATGTTGATGTTGTGTTCCTTTTGAAAACTCACAAAATAACCTTTGGGCAAAGGGTTTTGAATGAAACTGATTTTAGAGGAGCGGTAAGGGTGCCTTTCATTAAAATCAATTCAGATAGCCCAAGTGTTTAATCATGGAATAAGTGCCTATCACTTTAGAAGGAAGTGATCTTTTGACCTTTCAGAATTAGCTGTATTTTCACATGGAAGCACATAAAAATCCCATTTGCAGAAACACATTTCTTACTGATGAACTCCAAAAATCAAACTTTGGCTGGATGCATGGGCAGCGGGGTGAACACTTCTACAACTAAGCAATTGTTTCCAGTTTTGAGCTTTTCTATGGATTGAATCCTGCAGAGAATTACATTAAAACTATATAAATAATTATTTGCTTATCCCAGCCTTCCTGGTTAGGCTCTTTTCCCAGCCCTAGAACACACACACGCACGTGCGCATACAGACACGGGCACACACAGGCACACAGATGCACCCACAGATGCAGGCACACACAGGCGGCGCACACACACACACACACACGTGCATACACACAAACACACTATGTGTGCACAAACACACTATGTGCGCGCACACACACATGCTCTGCCTGAGAGAGGAGAAGCCCATCTTCTAAAGCAGAGAGGAGCACCTGCAGGAAGCAGCTGGTTCCTGGCCTCTTGGCTTCCAGACTCCAGCCCCAGTAATTGAAGCAGGATGTGAGGGCATTTGAAGGCAGCTGCGACTCTGTGTCACTTTACCCTCGACTAGTTTGCAAGCATGTGTGCAGACACGGCCGTGCACTGCCTTTCCCACTGTGAAAAGCAAAGGGCCTTTTGAGTTTTCATCATGAGGAAGATGCTGCAGGCATGTATGTGGGATGGGCAGCTGTAGGGAGTTGGGGTGTTGTCCCAGGTGGCGGAATACAGCTAATTCTGAAAGGTCACCTCCTTCCAAAGTGATAGGCACTTATTCCATGATTGAACACTTTGGCTATCTGAATTGATTCTAATCAACTCATTGCATCAGAGTTGTACCCAAAATGCCATTGGCCCCCATTGAGAATCACCGTAACCCCAGTGATGTCAGATCCGAATGTGCCGTGGACACATCCAGCCCGGCTCCGTTGCCATAAGACAAGCAATGCTAGTTTGACTTGACAGATGCTCAGAAAAGACTGTTAAAATGCAAGCCGGCCTCTCTGCAGGAAAATCTAGACATAGTGGTTTCCAGCCGCAGGTGTGCATCAGAAACACCTTGAAACTTAAAACACCGTAAATACAGGTGATGGTGCCCACCCCTCACAGCTGGGGCGTCACTTATTTTGCAGTGGGCTCTGGCCGCTGAGTTTCTTAAGACTGTTCTGCAGGGAGGAATGGAGGCAGTGTCTCTGTAAACTTTATTAGCTCTGCTGAAAATGGTGTGCTAGCCACAAAGCCTTTTACAAAGAGTCTCCTATGAAGTTTCCCTCTACCTGATAAGTGCTTGGAGAAGTCATCTGGGGAAAATAAGAAATCAAGTGAGTTCTCATAGGAGCAGAGAGCAGAAAGGTGGGCAGCAAGGCTGGGGGCGCGGGGCGTGGGGAGATGTTGGAGAAGGACCTCAACTCTCAGGAGAAATAAGTTCAAGGGATCTGTATTGCATGCCGTGGAGACTACAGTTAACAACAATAGATTTATCCTTGAAAATTGCTAAGAGTAGATCTCAACTGTCCTCACCACGGAAAACAAGTATGACGTAACACATATGTTAGTTAGCTAGATTTGGCCATTCCAGAGGGTGGATGTGTATCAAAACATCATGTTGTGGCCCGGCGCGGTGGCTCACGCCTGTAATCCCAGCACTTTGGGAGGCCAAGGCGGGTGGATCACCTGAGGTCAGGAGTTTGAGACCAGCCTGGCCAACATGGTGAACCCCTGTCTCTACTTAAGATACAAAAATTAGCTGGGTGTGGTGGCGGGTGCCTGTAATCCCAGCTATTCAGGAAGCTGAGGCAGGAGCATTGTTGGAACCTGGTAGGAGGAGGTTGCAGTGAGCTGAGGTCGCACAAGTGCACTCCACCCCAGGTGACAGAGTGAGACTCCAACTGAAAAAAAAAAAAAATCATGTTGTACACTGTAAATGTAGACGATTTTTACTTGCCAGTTAATTTCTTTTTTTAATCAAGTGAGTTCAAACACAAAGAGGTGTCACGTGCATCTTGGATCCTGACATTTCACCGGTCTTAGTCCCAGAGTGGGGTCCCTGACAGTGGCTCTGAACCGCTCTCCTCCCAAGCCTGTAAGTCACACAACACGGTGCCCCTCCCTCTGGACTCATGGAGGCTTTCCGAGGGTGAGCGCACTCAGCTGTGTGCGTGCGCCGCCTGTCTTCCCACTGGTCAGGCCCAGCTGCACACCATTGCCATTTTCCAGGAGCGCCTCTCTCCTTAAGGCATGTTCTTTGTTAAAGGCACATCGTGTTGGTTTCTGGAGAGGTGACTTCAGAACTCGTTTTCTGTAAATGTGCTACCCTCAGATTCCACAGAACTCTCTTCTCCCTCTGCTCGTTTCACAGCGTCGTGAGTGGGGTGTGTTGCGTCCTTTCCATTGAACTGTGGTTTTCCTTGGAGGCAGAGCCAGGCCCTCCACGTGTTGAATCCTACCTGGCATCTCCCCTTGCATTGCGGACCGTCAGATGGGATGAGTGTGCTCATGCCTCTGCCATTCAGCAGAAATGTGTACAGTGCCAGGCCTGCCAGGCCCTGGAGATCCTGCAGCAGGCAGACGCCAAAGGGCCTTGGTTACGTGGAGCCCGTGTCGGAACCCGGGTCCTTATGAGGGACAGAAAGAAGGACTGGAAGACGGGCAGGAAGCAGGCAAATGGAAGAGTGAACGGAGAGCTTTAGGACGTAGTGTGTGCTGAAGAGGAAATGCAGCAGCTCGATGTGACAGCAGAGGGCTGGGATGTGCTCAGAGCAGGCTCCGTGGGTGTCAGGGGCTGAACTGTGACCCCTCCCCAAATGCCTGTGTTGAAGTCCTCAGAAAGGGAATGTACTTGGAGATAGAGGTAATCAAATTAGAATGAAGTCCCTGTGGGGAGGGAGGAGGGTGTGGGGCTGGCTAATCCAATATGACAGGTGTCATTATCAGAAAGAGGAAGTTTTTTTTTTTTTTTTTTTTGAGATGGAGTCTGGCTCTGTCACCCAGGCTGGAGTGCAGTGGCACATTCTTGGCTCACTGCAGCTTCCACCTCCCCGGTTCAAGCGGTTCTTGTGCCTCAGCTTCCCGAGTAGCTGGGACCCCAGGGGTGCACCACCCTGCACAGCTAATTTTGTTTGTATTTTTATTAGAGGCAGGGTTTCACCCTGTTGACCTGGCTGGTCTTGAACTCCTGGCCTCAAGTGATCCTCCCACCTCGGCCTCCCGAAGTGCTGGGATTACAGGCATGAGCCGGTGCACCTGGCTGATACTGAGCACGTTTGCATATGCTTGTTGCCCTATTTACATCTTCTCTGAAAAAGTGTGTAGTCACACCCCTTGCCCACTTTTTCATTGTGCTTTCCTATTATTGCTGAGTTGTGAGAGTTCTTTATGTGCTATAGATACGTCTCCCATCAGCCTATCAGACGCGTGTTTTCCAAATATTTCCTCCCGTTCTGCCGATTGCCTTTTCACTTTCTTCATGGTTTCCAGTGAAGTTCAAAAGTGTTTAATGTTAATTTATTTTTATCATTTCATTTTTTGTAGAAACGGGAGCTCACAATATTGCCTAGGCTGGCCTCAGCAATGTTCTGCCTTAGCCTCCCGAAGTGCAGGGATTATAGGCGTGAACCGCTGCACCCAGCTCAAAGTTTTTAGCTCTGATGAAGTCCAGTCTAACCATTTCCTTGTTGTTGCTTGTGTTTTTGATGCCATATCTAAGAAGGCTTTCCCTAACCCACAATCTTAAAGACTTAACTCCTGTATTTCCTTCTAAGAATTGTATGGTGTTAATTCTGACATTGTGTCTGTGATCCATTTTGAGTGAGTTTTGTATGTGTGGAGTGAGGAAGGGGCCCGAATTCCAAATTCCTTCCTGCTTTGGCATATGCATACTAACAATGACTAATATAACACCCCCCCAACCCCTGAAGCAGAGTCTCACTTTTGTTGCCCCGGCTGGAGTGCAGTGGTGCAGCCTAGACTCACTGCAACCTCCACCTCCTGGGCTCAAGGGATTCTTGTACCTCAGCCTCCCAAGTAACTGAGATTACAGGTGCGCACCACCATGCCCGGCTAACTTTTGTGTTTTTAGTAGAGATGGGGTTTCACCATGTTGGCCAGGCTAGTCTCGAACTCCTGACCTCAGATGATCCGCCCACCTTGGCCTCCCAAAGTACTGGGATTACGAGTGTGAACCACCGCACCCAGCCTAATATAGCTTTAATATGATTTTAATTTACTTTATCTCAAGGTTTAGTTCTAAGGTCACCTGTTTTTAGTTGGGATTTGTGGGTTTAGAGTGCGTTCTCAAGACCTGGGATGGGTCACTGTGCTCTGTAAAACTCACTGAGTCAGGTAGGGAGCCATCTGCTGCCATGATGTCATTCACAGTGACAGCCATGCCCACAGACAGATCTAAACTCTGTACAGTAGTATTAAGCCATTTAATCCGGACAAGCATGGTGGCTCCCACCTGCAATTCCAACAGTTTGGGAGGCCAAGGTAGACAGATTGCTTGATCCCAGGAGTTTCAGATGAGTCTGGAAAACATGGCAAGACCCCATCACTGGAAAAAGATTTAAAAACCTTAGCTGAGCACGGTGGCATGTGCCTGTAGTCCCGCTGCTGGAGAGGCTGAGGTGGGAGGAGTGCTTGGGCACAGCAGGTGGAGGTCGCAGTGAGCCGAGATTGAGCCACGGCTCTCCAGCCTGGGCAACAGAGCGAGACCCTGTCTCCCCCTCCCAAAAAATATTATTCAATCTTCCCCACTACCCTTATGAAGGAGATTTTATTGTCTCTATTTTACTTCATGGGAAACAGTCAAACAGCTGGGGGAGGTTGAGATGCTGACCCAAGATCGCACGACTAGTTCCTAGTGGAGCCAGGATCCACACCCAGGCAGGGCGGCTTCAGAGCTTCCCTTACAAATGTTATTATGTGTTTACTTTTAAAAAGTGTAAAATCTGTAGAAGAACAGAAAGAGCAGTGCAGCACATACTTGTGTCCCCTTCACCCACGTTCATCTCCTGCTTCCTCTCCCGTCTCTCTTCATATACATAACTCTCTCTCTTCTTTCTTTTGCCAAATCACCTGAAAGAAGGTGGTTGATGATGGCACTGCTAATATTTCTCTCTGCAACTTTGCAGAACCGGTGTCTTCTCCTGCACCTGACAAGACAGGACCATGCTTGAGAAGTCAGTGTCAGTACATTACACCACTGGATGTGCGCTCCAGGCTTCATTCCCTCAGTGTCATAGGTTTTTTTCACGCAGGATCCGCACAGCATGCATTGCGCTTGGCTCTGTGTCCCTTTAGTGTACTCCAGCCCAGCTCCCCGTAGCTCTTCATGACATTGTGCCCTCCGAAGGGTCCGGTCAGTTGTCCTAGAGAACACGGCAACGATGGAGTTGCCTTGGGGTTGGATTTGCATCCACTTCCAGCTGGGACACCACGCAGGTGATGTGTACTCCCCAGCATGTCACACGGGAAAGGCATCAGCTCTTCTGCCTGTTGCTGACAGATGCCTCCATTGTGAAGGCTGACTTCTCCTTTGTGATTGATAAGTCATCCATGGAGTGGTGCTTTGGGTTGTGGGGACACAGATGCTCCTCAGCTTATGATGGGGCCGCATCCCAATAAACCCATCACAAGTTGAAAATACCATGAGTTCAAAATGCGTTTAACACCCCTAACCTACGAGCACCATAGCTCAACCTAGCTGACCTTAAATATGCCCAGAATACTTGCGTTTGCCTACCGTGGGGCTAAACCGTCTAACCTATTTTATACTAAAGTGTTGAATATCTCATGGAAGATGTTATGATTGGATACCACACTGAAAGTGAAGTAACAGAATGGTTGTATTCTTGCTGAAATGTGGTTTTAACTGAATGTGTGTGGCTTTTGCACCGCCATGAAGTCACAAAATCCTAAGTGGAATCGTTGTAAGTCGGAGACCATCTGTATCGTTTCCTGATGACCTTTTACTTAACGGATTTGATCAGGCTCCATTAGGCTCCACTGTTGATCCCTGGTCCTTGTCTGAGTCAGTTATTACACTGGGGGTTACAAAGTGATGATTTTCTAATTCTGTTCATCTGTCTACACTTACTATAGAAGAATCTACGAGGAGATTCTTCTGTAGAGAAGAGCTTTCCCTTTTCCTCCTCCTCCTCCTCCTCCTCCTCCTCCTCCTCCTCCTCTTTCCTTTTATTTCTCTCTCATCACTAAGGAATCAGGTATTCTTGAAATTTCGTGTGTTACAATCTGTTATAGTCATTATTCTTTTTTGAAGTTGCAAAATCATCCCGCCATGGTCAGTGGGATTCCCTTGAAGCTGGCTTCTGTTTCCTTTTGACCTGACGTCATTAAACTTCGAGCACTGTAGAAAGCTCGGGAAATGCCTCCTTCCTGGGCAGGTGAGGCCAGGGCTGTGCACTGTGCACCCGGCCATCTTCCAGTGGCCCAGCTGCCAGTTGTCACCAGGCTGTGGGGTGTCAGGTGCTGCTCACCAGACCTTCGGAAATGGAAACGCGGCTGCGTGAATAATTGGAATGAGAAGTCGTTTTCTTTTTCCTTTTGTCAGCCTGCCAGATGGCTGAGTTTGGTTTTTGTGGCATTCCCTCTCCCTTGCCTGTGCTGGAAGAAAACGGCTCTTCAGGGAGAGTGCGGATGGTGATTAAAAGTGCATACTCCATGCGGTTGGTGATGAGGTGTCCAGTGAGCATTCGGAGAGGGGCAGGGGGCTCTTAGTGGCCTTTGTGGCACTGCAATAATTATATTAGATGAACGACTACAGCACATAGTGTTTCAGAGCTTCCAACCATGGTAAGTAATGAAAATTCAGTTGTATTCTAAAAATGTGCTTTTGAGATTAGGATCTCGTTTGGGCGAGGTGTATTTTTGTGTGTGAGGTGCCAGAGGTCCAATTGACCCAGGAAGTTATTCCGCATTCCCTGGCTCACCTTGCCGCAGAGGCTCTTGAACTGACTGCCTCCGCCCCTTTCCTCCTGTCTCCTGCAGGCGATGGATTTAGAAGTTCCGGTGTTGGCCAGAAACATCCCCGGGAATGCTGCCGTGGTGAAGCATGAAGTCACAGGGCTACTGTTTTCCACTCCTCAGGTAAAGAGAAGTTCTTCCCCTTCATTCACTCACGTTGCCTGAATAGTTTTCCTCTGCGCTTGCTGGAGAGAGTCTCCCTGTAGCGCCCAGCATTCCTGTCCTAGGAGGAGCCCTGCAGAGAGCACGCTGTCTTCCGTTACCACCTGGCAGCTGCCTGGGTGTGCCACTAGCGGAAACCTAGGGACAGGAGTGTTGAGTCCCGTTCCTGCTTCTGCCACCAAGTTGCTGTATGGGGCTGGGCCAGATACGTCACCTCTGAGATGCTCAGATTTCTGATTTCCAAAATAGGCACTCTCAGACACAACCATGTATTTATAGCACGTCTGCTGCTTTCAGAGGACGGGCGCCTATGTGATCACTTTCATTCCTTGAAACAAACGCACAAGATATGCAGGGTTCCTGCGTAAATACAGAAACGTGTGTACATCAGGAAGTAGAGGAAGGGGCCATGTACCTGTCAGTCGGCCCAGCTGGCTGCCTGGTGACTTCTGGGGCACACGTGTGCCACCACCTCCCAGGAGCATGGAATGGTGCTGCCCCATGTGAGGGCCACAGATGGTGCTGGGGATTCGCCCTCCGGGGTTTGCCTGCATCCAACACCCAGAGTGCCTCCTGCAGAGGGCGACCAGGCCCAGTCTCCACGCTGCACTTTCTCTCTGGATAAGTGGAGCCTATCATAACACCTGCCTCTCGGAGTCATGACATGCACTGAATGCACTGATGGCAGAGCCTAGTGATGTGCACGACACATGCTCAGAGCTCAGTGAACACCAGATACTCTCAAAACGGAAGGTGTTGGCTGTGGGCAGTGGCTGATGCCTGCAACTCCAGCACTTTGGGAGACTGAGGTGGGAGGATCACTTGAGGTCAGTAGTTTGAGACCAGCCTGGCCAACATGGTGAAACCCTCTCTGTGCTAAAAAAAAAAAAAAAAAAAAAAAAAAAAAAGTCTGGGTGTGGTGCATGCCTGTAATTCCAGCTATTCAGGAGGCAGAGGCAGGAGAATCACTTGAACCCAGGAGATGGAGGTTGTAGTGAGCTGAGATCGTGCCACTGGACTGTGTCTGGGCAGCAGAGTGATATTCTGTCTCAAAAAAAAAAAAAAAAAGAAGAAGAAGAAAAAGGGAGTGCGTTGTCACTGTGTATGCCTCTTGTTAGGCAGTAGTAAATAAAAGTCTTTTTTTTTTTTTTGAGACAGGGTCTCATTGTGTAGCCCAGGCCGCAGTGCAGCGGTGTGATCATGGCTCACTACAGCCTTGACCTCCTGAGCTCGAGCAGTCCTCCCACCTCAGCCTCCTAAGTAGTTGGGACTACAGGCACGCACCACCATGCCTAGCTCTAAATTTTGTTTATTTTTTGTAGAGACAGGATCACGCTTTTTTTGCCCAGGCTGGTCCCGAACTCCTGGCCTCAAGTCGCCTCCTGAAGTACTGGGCTTATAGGCATGAGCACCACGTTCAGCAAAAATTAGCTTCTTTCAAAAAAGTTAGGTTCTACTCATTACCATCTTTATTAAAGCACATATGATATTCTGAAATTCAGAAAGTTATGCTTAAAAACTAAAAACTCAAATACTTTAATATTAAGATTTCCTACAGCTGATGTTTAACTCAAGATCCCTTTCCCTTTCTGTAGTGTGATGATGTGTCATGCCTTTCACTGCCTGCTTCTCACAGAGCTTTAAACAAATTCCAGCATAAACAAGATGAAAGCCCGCTTCATGGGGCTGGGGGTAGTGGGGGCAGTGGCAGGAGGGCCGGGGAGAGATTGCAAGTTGCAAGGTATCAGCAAGTCCTGAATGAATGCACTGACCATCGTGGGAGGCAGAGGGAAAGAGCAAAGGTGGGACCTAGGAGTTTATCTATTATTGTCTACAAAAGGCGTAGGCAGTGGGCCAGGCGCAGTGGCTCACGCCTGTAATCCCAGCACTTTGGGAGGCCAAGACAGGCAGATCACGAGGTCAGGAGTTCGAGACCAGCCTGGCCAACATGGTGAAACCCCATCTCTACTAAAAATACAAAAATTAGCTGGGCGTGGTGGCAGGCACCTGTAATCCCAGCTACTTGGGAGGCTGAGGCAGGAAAATCGCTTGAAACTGGAAGGTGGAGGTTACAGTGAGCCGAGATTGCACCACTGCACTGCAGCCTGGGCGACAGAGTGAGACTCCATCTCAAAAAAAGAAAGGCTTAGCTAATAGCATTAAAGACTTCCCTTTTGATAGTAACACCTACAAGCCCAAATAACATTAGGATAGGAAGAGTTTTCAGTAGTTACTTGATTCTCCAAACAAAGGCTTATTGCTTTTTTACCATATTCTATATCTCTCAAAATCAACTCCAGCCAACCTTTATGTCAGGAACATTATCCCCACTCTGGAAAAGTGTTCCTTTTTTTTTTTTTTTTTTTTCCAAAAGGCAACTTATATTTACTTTGTAGCTCAATTTCAGAGCACCAAAGAAAGCACTCCAACTTTATCAGCGAACGTCTGAGTAGCAGTCCCTTCTAAGTGGCTATATTAGGCTGAACAGAAGAATGAAAGCAGCTTGGCTCTCCTGATTTCATACAGCCTCTTGTAAGATACTCCTTTTAATGTTTGCAAATCACTGTCGTGCCTCTGCTGTGTTCAGGTTGTTCCTGCTAGTTACCGGCCTCCTCTGAGCCAGCAGACACAACTCTGCAGCCCTCACTGAGTCTAGCTGCAGACTTATTTTGATTCCAGCACTTTTATGTTCATTTCACAAAGGATGTCTAAAAAAACAGAACTCTTCAGGTTTTATGTGGGGGGAGGCTGCGATTCTTAGCACATGTTGAAAAAGCACGCTAGACGTGGATGTCGCACCTGGTTTGGTTTGGTTTTCTTTCCAGTCTCCTTCTGACTTGACCTAGCACGGGGTAGGAGCTGTTGCTTTAAAAACAACATGCATTTTGAGTAAGTCTGGGACTCTGGTTCTAACAGTCTGGACTAAGAAACTCAGATGAAAGGAACCACTAGTGGGTTGCCAGGGTTGGCAAGATTGAAAATATGGGGCTGGGCACAGTGGCTCACGCCTGTAATCCCAGCACTTTGGGAGGCTGAGGTGGATGGATCACCAGAGGTTAGGAGTTTGAGACCAGCCTGGCCAACATGGCAAAACCCTGTCTCTATTAAAAATACAAAAATTAGCCAGGCATGGTGGCAGGTGTCTGTAATCCTGGCTACTTGGGAGGCTGAGGCAGGAGAATCCCTTGAACCTGGGAGATGGAGGTTACCTAGGAGGTGGAGTGAGCCAAGATCGCATTGAGATCACGCCAGTGTGCTCCAGCCTGGGTGACAGAGCTGGGTGTCTCAAAAAAATGAAACACGTATTCCAGTATGGATTGGAACCAGCATCCCATTTTTTAAGGAGGAATGTCCATGTCAGAACACCGACCTTGTAAAGTTCAAAAAGTTCCGTATGCATATGGTGTATGTGTTAGCATACACACTATTCAAGTCAATGCCAAATGTGCAGTGAGAAGTTCTGCATTCATTTTTATTTTCTAACTGAGAATGTGAAGAAACCCGGTACAAAAAGATGAAGTTCAGACTGTTAGATCGTATGCTTAAGACCCCAGCTACCTATTTTTCAAAACAGAAAACTGATTTTACATCCAGTAAAAGATGTGGGTGACTGTTAAAGGCACTTCCTATTCTTTTCATTTTGTGAATCTTTTAGAAACCATTATTCGTCAGGGTCCCCCAGCGAAACAGAACCAATAGAAGATAGATAGAAACATGTGAGATTTATTATGACAACTGGCTGACATGATGGTGGAAGCCAGGAAATTCCATCATCTGTTGTCTGTGAGCTGGAGACGCAGAAAAGCCAGTGATGAAAGCAATTCATTCTGAGGCTAAAGCCTCGAGAATCGGGGATGTGTACCCAAAAGAAGGGAGGTCACTATCTGGAAGAGACACCTGCACCCATGTTTATCAAAGCACCATTCCCAATAGCCAAGGTGTGGAACCCCCCTAAGTGTCTATCAGCAGATGAATGTGTAAGGAAAATGCGGTATGTATACCCAGCGGAGTACTATTCAGCCATAAAAAAGGAGCTGTGTTATTTACAGTAACATGTCTGGACCTGGAGGTCATTATATTAAGTGAAATAAGCCAGGCACAGAAAGATGAATATCGCACGTTCTTGGAGTCTGAAGGGCAGAGACTCAGGAGCTCGCATGTCTCTGTGCAGGAGATGGATGTCCCAACTCAAGAAGCCAGAAAATTCTCCTTCCTCTGCCTTTTCGTTGTATTTGTATTGGATGGTGCTGGCCCAGGTTGCCGAGGGTGCAGCTTCTCTCCTCGGTTCACAGATTCAAATGCTAATCAGCCTCGCACACATATCCAGAAACAAGGCGTCACCAGCTCTCTGGCCATCCCTTAGCCCAGGCACACTGACACGTAAAATCAACCATCATGCAAACGAAACCAACAAAAGGAAAGGAAATGTGCCCTTTCTTTTTGAGACCGTAACACACACTCCGTGAGTCAGGCACTTTTTCTGGTAACTAGAGCTCTATCCCCTCCTCCCTTCCTGGCACCTGTGTCCTATGGCGGCCCCATGCCTGTGCTCTGGTGAGGGGTTGCACACATCACGCCTTGCAGGGTGGAGTGAGCTGTCGCGTATGTGGTGGGAGTCACGTGTTCTGGCTGCCTGTTGCAGACCTGCTGGGCTAGCTCTGGGTCTAGACACAACGTCCAGAGCCTTTGAATGAATATTCACGTCTCCTCCAAGAAGGTACAGAACTAAGACATCAGCAGTGGCTACAGCAGTGCATGGGTTATCCTGGGTATGAGCAGTGAGATCTTTAGGGAAAGACTTCCTGGCAAACAGGCCTCAGCAAGAAATGAGTTGAGAACGCAGTGTGGCCTCTGCCGGGCAGGAGGGTCAAGCTCAGGTTTCTGGAGGGCACACGGGTGGGCAGGGCATGAGGTGGCCTGCCCGGGGGCAACCCCAGGGACCTTGAGGTCAGGCAAGCAGA